ATTAGCAGCAATAAACAAACATGGCAGATAGGTATCATGGTTATCAGGTATTCTGTAGGTGTACCATATTTTATTTTATAATGGAGTCTCACGATAGCCAAGTTACACTAGTATTATCATAGTGTCTAGACCTACACAAGAAATAGACACTATGATAATACTAGTGAAATATCTTGGTTATCATGAGACTCCATTAAAAATAAGATATGGTACACCTAGACCTTGACTAGAAATAGGACCTGGGGTAGAGTAGGTCTTCTGCAACCCATGTTTGCCATAAAAGGCAACTATGCTTGTCGTGAGAGGCAACTAACGGGATCGGGTGGTCAGACTCGCTGACTTGGTTGATGCATGTCATCGTATCCCAAATGTGTGGATTGATGCTTCATCAATCACAGGATTGTCTGGTCCAGACTTGATTATGTACAGACTGCCTTCATATAACTGGAATATTGCTGAGTGCAGTGTTAAACACAAACAAACCAACTGGAAATAGGCTCCAGTCAATGGAGCCTCTTACTTCAACCAGTTCCAGTTCCTAATTATCTTCAATTGATTTTGTCAAACCAGATAGATTGAACTCCATCTGGCATGACAAATCCAGTTGCATCACAGGCTTCTAAAACTTCCTCATCATATCGTTTGCCAGGATCTGTTGTTGTCTAATATGCCAGACCAATTGTCTGTAAGTCTTTCATAATTTCCATAATGATTATTGATGCTTTTAACCTGAAGCCTACTTCTATTCATAAGTTAACAGGGGTGGTGGGGTAGCCTAGTGGTTAAAGCGTTCTCTCATCACGACCCGGGCCCGATTCCCCACATGGGTATAATGTGTGCCCCGTCGTAATATTGCTGGAATATTGCTAAAAGCAGCGTAAAAACATACTCACTCATAAGTTAGAGACAGTCATTAGGTCCACCATCAAGTGAGTGGGTTTTAACTTAACAGTGATAGACCCATAATCTGTGTAACAAGACACCACTTTACCGCTGATTGTTCAGGTTGTCACTCTTGCTTTACTGATCTTGCATGATGCAGGGGTCAATTTAGCTGTTGGCTGAAACATTCAGTAGACGTCCCATCTGGCAAGTCAAAATTTCACTCCTTTTCTGTGTGTGTTTAGTTTTTGTTTGATTATGATTGTGAATCATGTAATTTCAATGAAAAAGTATTTTATAGTGGAGAATGAGGTGGCGTGAATGGTTAACTCAAAGAAAGATACATGTCAGTCGTCTCAGTAGAATGACAATCAGACGCCATTTTGTAATGTTGTGTACAAGGTCTTTATTTGCTGATACATCACCACGAAATGAGGAAAATGGAAGCCAAGATTTAATCTTAGAGTGCAGGAAAAGGTGTTTTAGGGGTGAGGAGTTCAAAAATTTCAGAGCCCCACTGGGTGGCTATGCTACCTCGGGTTCAGCCACTTCGTGGCCTCCGCCATATAGTTGTAGGCCAGTTAGTTTTGCAGCAGGGCCTGTTACTTTTAAAAGGAGAAATCCCTGCTGGCTACAGGCAAATTTGTTGTTATGTCTGCCCTGAGCTTGCCTCTTTCATCTTTAGGGTTAGTTGTGTTAGAGTTAATAGAGGGTACCCCCAACTCCTTCCTTAGTCCTTGGATCCCCTTTTTGATCAGGAACTCTTTCATGATCCTTAGGGGGTCAAACTTCCAGCTGTAACCATGGTAACCCTTGCCTCGGAGTGTTAAAGAATAGAGATATAACTTATAGATAGCAATAACCCACCCAAAACGTTTGAAATTCTACAAGCCCCTAAGGTACCTTTAACATTAAGAAAATGGTCGGGGTTAGTGCAAGTTTCCATCCCTTTGTTCTTATATTTGTGTGTTTATCCTACTGTTTTATAAAAAAACATTGTGTCATAACTTCTATATATATATAAGTGAAAACTGTCGTCTAGTTTCTCAACATCAGTACAACGAAGGCAATTATGTCATCTCTCACTGATGACTCAGTTTTCTTTGTGCTGAAATAATGGCAAATGACACTAATTTTCTCCACACTCCAAATATGTCTTTGACACTGAGCAGACAGCTCAAGATGACCAAAGAACATGTAAGTCAACAGCCATAATCTATGTTCAACCAATGTAAATGTCATCGTTTACTTGGAATGCCTAACATGCCTTAGGCCAGGCTCACGATAATCATAATGTTCAGGTAATAATTGTAATGGAAAACATAATAATCTGCAGTGTTCCGGCTGGCTTTTGAAACTGCCAGACCTTGTGGACTGGCCACTCTAATTTTTGCCAGTCCCAACTTTCAACAAATAAAAAAACGTATCAAAATTATTTATTTTTAATTCTATAATTCTATACGTCATTCATACAAACTTCAGTCACAATTTTCTATTCTTTTTTTTAAATATTTTGAGATGAAGTCGCAACAAAAGAATATTTAACCTAGAATTAGACAAGGGGAAACCCTGATGGTAACAGACAAGCTCACTTTGTTTGAAAAATGTACTTAAATGAATATCACCAATGTTTTTTTCAACAACAAAGATCTATAAGGTACTTTATTTGCCGGTCCAGGGACTGGCAGTCACATGAATTACCGGTCCAAGCCTAATTTTACCGGTAAAATACTGGTAATTACTGGTAAACAGGAACGCTGAATCTGTCCCTTGTTTCAAACTTGTTTGAGCTGGGAAAAATGTAGAGTTAAAAATGGTCTTGGGTTTTCTACAAGCAACAGGGCCAACAATAGTGAAATGTTTCAGCTTGAGTCTAAATTGTTTGTCTGTATAATGTTATGCAGTTTCATTTTCTTGTCTTGTTACAAGTATTATGAAACTTATTGTCTAAAAAAGACACTTAATCAGTAGTTCTGGTCATTTGGTTTTAAGTGTACAGATCTGAAACTCCTCAGTTCTTACAAGCCTCTTTTAGTTAGCATTGGTAGCCCAGTTGTCTCAAGTGCTGCAGTTTGCTATGCAGAGTTGCGTCCCTTCAGAGTGCCAGAATCCGACGATACTAGATTCACCCTCATAATCAGATAAGGATTCTGTGCCATACCGATGCTCGTGCTTTTCACCATAGTGGTGAACATCTATGACCTGAATCCCTTCATTGGCGCTCTCTCCCTACTCTAAGCTGACATGTTTTGACAAATCAGGAATGCTGGTCAAAGTTACATTTATCCACACGCTGTCACGGCCAGCTGTGTTGATGAGCTGTGGCATCTCAAAGGAAGTACACTGAAGATAAGTTGAGGGCTGCCTTTAAAAAAAGCTATGTTAGTGCTGAGCGAGTGAGTGGGTTTTACGCTGCTTAAAGTAATATTCCCACTATATCAATACCACAGGGAGGCACACCGCTATGTTACCTGCTTCGCCCAGACCAAGTGCTAAGAATATTGTGTGCCAATGTTTATGTATAGTCAGTGTATCAAATTCCCTAAAATTTCAGTCAGACAACTGGACTGGCGACTTTACAAAGTTACCAGACCGGATACAATGTTACCTGTCCAGAATTTTCTAGACTAAGAAAAAAGGAGGTAAACATGAGAATAGTACTGTTTGATATTTGTCAGAAAATAACAATAAACTGGTGGATTGTCAAGCAGGTATTTTAAACACTGGTATAGTAGCTTAGAACACGTAGTGTTAGTTTTAAGATCTTTTATTTTAACATTGACATGTAACACTTAACTCGCAATTTTTTTGCACAAACTACATTAAGGTGCTTCCCCAGCAATATATGTGAGAGAGAACCAAGTAGATTGGGTTGTCAGGCTTGGTGACTTGGCAGATTCTGTGTCACCCTGATGGTGTGGATTGTTGCTCATATCAATTACTGGATTGTCTGGCTCAATTATTAACAGGACGCCTTTATATCAATGTATATAGCTTGAATTTGTTTAACATTGCTGAGTAAACCCAAAACAAACAAACAAACAGTAGGGTTCTTGATTCATGAGTTTGATTGCCACTTTCATGCCTTGTAGGTAGCATGTGAGTGAGTATTGTTTTACGCCGCCAATCTCATTAAAATCAGATCTTTGTTCTCGCTACCGCTAAACAAAGATCTGAGGACATCCCATTACGGGTCGAGTCAGACCGACCTTGCGCGAACTTTGACTGACCAATAGAATGACCAATCAGAAGGCAGCTTTCTCGTGCTCTACGGCACTAATTTAAAATTGGTGACTACGCTTCGAAACATGTTTTGACAAATTCTCGATTACAAATTTGAAACCAAAACAAAAGAACATTCTGGAATGGCTAATAGATGGTCTAGATTGTATTGATTCAGTTGTTAAACCTGTAACTATCTTCTGAATACCCCGTGTTAAAGTTTTCGAGGTTGTATGATTAGAAATCACATTCCGACTGTCACTTTCATGATCTGGTAAGCGACGCTCTAATTGGTCGGATGAAAGGTCGTTCTGACTTGACCCCTAATGGGATGTCTTCAGATTTTTGTTTAGCGGTAGCGAGAACTAAGGTCAGATTTTAATGGGATTGTTTATGCTGCTTGATTCATGAGATTGATTGCCACTTTCATGCCTTGTAGGTTGCAGTTGAGTGAGTGAGTGAATATTGTTTTACGCCACTTTTAGCAATATTCCAGCAATATCACGTCAGGGGACACCAGAAATGGCTTCACACATTGTACCCATGTGGCAAATCGAACTCAGATCTTCAGCGTGATGTGCAAACAGTTTAACCAGTAGGCTACTCCACTGTCCGCATGATGCATGTGACCCCAGAGTGGTATGGCTGCTGCTGAAGAGAAAGCAGCGACACACAGAATGTTAAGCAGGATCAGAAACTAACAGTTTTTGCCCACTAGTCCTTATAATGATAACATATAGCAAAACCCTTAAAATGGACCAATTTCTACTAGTCCTTAGCATATCTTTACTATTGGGCAGTTTGGTAAGGACTACAGGACTAGTGCCAATTTCTACCACTGCTAAGTATTGGACTGTGTAGACAATTACTAACATGTGACTGCCTTCTGTTTACAGTCAGGCCAGTTCAGTGAAGACATGATTCCCACAGTTGGGTTCAACATGAGGAAGATTACCAAAGGGAACGTCACAATCAAGGTAAGTAAGCAGTCCCTGTTGTTGTTTATATATTTGTCACGTGCCTTGTGCAAATGTTGGGTACAGCTGCGAATTCATGTGTTAGTTTCCAGTTATTTATGGTATTTCTTATTTCCATCTTGCAGTAAAGATGGTTAATGGTTTGTGTGGAAATACAGATATTTTTACGTAAAATATGCATTAAATAAGCTGAAATATGCAGACAAATCAAATCCTATAGTATCAAATACTCAATAAAAACTATAAAAACCCTATTGAAATATAATTAATGCGTATATTACAACTATTAGATAAAATGATTGCGACTATTACAACTGTTAGATAAAATGATTGTGTATCAGCCAATCACCAAATTCACACATCGACAGTTACATTCGGAAAAGCTTCTGCAACAAACATACTGATAGATACCCATTGAAAAGCACATCGTGTCTAGTCAATGTAAGTGTTGTATCTTAATTAGTCGATGATAGGTAATTAAAACAATAGCACCTTCCTTACGTTGCTAGGTTTTATAAACACAAAATGGCATCCCGGAGAGGGAGCTGCAAGCAGACGCAGATGGGTATACTACTATTCACATAGTTTAAAACAATTTACAGGGATTGTTAGGAAACAGGTTTTAAGTTAAATACCCTTTTGTCAAGAAACAGGTGGGTAACAAATATTGAATACCCTCTAAAACTTGTGGATACACAATCAAAATATAACCCCTGCGTAAAATACCAAAATAACCAAACGTTTATCTATTGCTCTGGAAGTATGTTTACGTTGTCTTTATCATGTTTATGTTGGGGGAACAGGTGATGTTTTTTTTCAATTCTACTACCATGAGTTATGTCAGCGTTATGTCCATGCGAGCTGGGTTCGCAAAAATTGTGGGTGCACAAGAAGCCCAGTCATCTCAGACACTGCAGCATGGGCGGATACAGAGGTGGGGGGTGCGCACCCCCCCTTTTTATTTCGAAAAAAATCTTTATTTCTGTATAAATTACCACCAAAGACAATAAATAGATCTTAATTGTGCACCCCCCCCCTTTTAAAAAAAGCTGTATCCGCCCATGCTGCAGTACACTGTACTGAGTTGCCTCCCTTGCACGTCAGAAACCTATCGATGTGGGTTCAAATCCCCCATTTGCCCTGACTATGATTCTAGGTGTATCAGGACCATCTCCTTGCTTGTGGGTTTCACTAAGCGGTAATCATTTAGGACTGACATCCCTTCAGGCTTTTCTCCCACTTCAAGCTGATATGCCATGAATAATTTGCTAAAAACTGTTCAAGGGGCGGACAAGACCTGCAACACAATGAGCTTTCCTGCCACATTTTTATGATTAAGTTGACATGTGGCAATATAATTAAGATTATTTTCAAAGCAGCATTAAACCAAACTCAAATGGATTAAATAATAGTGTTGACATGTCTATCATGTATTCATGGGTGAGATTCTTCATGGATCTGCGAATTTTAGTGACCACAAATTTGTTAAACATCCCCCATAAACACCCCCAAAGTATGGATCAAGCTCCATTGAAAAGAGTTACAGCTGAAAAGGAAAATATTCATTCTCATCCCTGTGCATTAGTAAGTAAGATATGTGAAATTTACATGTAATAATCGACCCGTGAAGATTCCGGGTTAGAATAGGTCTTCAGCAACCCATGCTTGCCGTAAAAGGTGACTATGCTTGTCGTAAAAGGCGACTTACGGGATCGGGTGGTTCCCAATTGCGTAGATCGATGCTCATGATGTTAATCACTGGATTGTCTGGTCCAGACTCGATTATTTACAGACCACGTCATATAGCTGGAATATTGCCGAGTGCGGCGTTAAACAACAAACAAACAAACATGTAATAATCATCTTGTTTTTTTCTTGATAGTTGTGGGATATTGGTGGCCAGCCCAGATTTCGAAGCATGTGGGAGAGATACTGCAGAGGAGTCAATGCCATTGTGTGAGTATCAAGTAGAGTTCCACGTGTTATCCATAATGAGCCGATGGTCACAGCTTATGCGATATTGCTCTCAATAATCACAGTAAATATTAAACAACCATTTTGTTTGTTGTGAAATGCCACACCCTTCAATATTCCTGCTATATGATGGCAGCCTGTTAATAATAGTCTGGATCAGACAATCCAGTGATTGATATTGTGGACAATGATCCACGCCGTCGGGAAATGATGACAAATTATCAACTAAGTCATGGGGTCTGACCACCAGATCCATTTGGTATTCTTTTATGATCAGCATAGTTTGCTGGGGATCAATCCACAATTAATTCATCCTCACTGTTAATTCATAACATAATTCAGTGGACCTGATCTTGATCTGATGCTTGACCTTGAAACTAATATTTGACCTTGAGAAGCTGACACTTGACCTTGAGAAGCTAACACTTGACCTTCAGATGCTACTTGACCTCATCAAAGGCTACTGCCATTGTTTGTTTCCTGTCTTAGTCTTCACCCAATGGTGTGTTTTCCTGGGAATCATGGTAATATTGTTAATCCATCAGTTAAGTTGGGATCAAGATCTTATGCAAAGTGGTCCAAGGCAAAGGAATTATCTATTTGGTTAGTTTTAGATTTAGATTAACCTATGCTGTCAGCACCATATCCTTGCTTGAGGTTGTTTCACTTGACTGGTAATCTTCACTTCAAGGTATCTGACTATGACTTTTGTCACTAGTCCAGAGCCTAAATCTAGTAGGGACGGTCGGGTAGCCTATCAGTTAAAGCGTTTGCTTGTCACGCCGAAGACCCAGGTTCGATTCCCGACATGGGTACAATGTGTGAAGCCCATTTCTGGTGCCACCTGCCATGATATTGCTGGAATATTGCTAAAAGCGGCATTAAACCATTCTCACTCACTCACTCACTCACTCACTAAATCAGTAAAAATATGGTGGATCTTGTCAGCTCATCTTCAGTAAAAATATATGGTATGTTGTTGCTACAGGTACATGGCAGTTTTTAGTATAAAGAGGTCCTTGAGGTTTGCTGCTATATTATTTTATTGGGGGCCCCATAAGTATTTTACTTTTTGCATTGGGGCTATGACAAGGACACCTGACTTTCATTGTTAGTATTTAAACACTGTCTGTGTTGTTGCTACAGCTGTATTGATGCTACAGGTACATGGTATGTTGTTGCTACAGCTGTATTGATGCTACAGGAGCATGGTATGTTGTTGCTACAGCTGTATTGATGCTACAGGTACGTGGTATGTTGTTGCTACAGCTGTATTGATGCTACAGGTACATGGTATGTTGTTGCTACAGCTGTATTGATGCTACAGGTACATGGTATGTTGTTGCTACAGCTGTATTGATGCTACAGGTACCTGATATGTTGTTGCTACAGCTGTATTGATGCTACAGGTACGTGGTATGTTGTTGCTACAGCTGTATTGATGCTACAGGTACATGGTATGTTGTTGCTACAGCTGTATTGATGCTACAGGTACATGGTATGTTGTTGCTACAGCTGTATTGATGCTACAGGTACATGGTATGTTGTTGCTACAGCTGTATTGATGCTACAGGAGCATGGTATGTTGTTGCTACAGCTGTATTGATGCTACAGGTACCTGATATGTTGTTGCTACAGCTGTATTGATGCTACAGGTACATGGTATGTTGTTGCTACAGCTGTATTGATGCTACAGGTACATGGTATGTTGTTGCTACAGCTGTATTGATGCTACAGGTACATGGTATGTTGTTGCTACAGCTGTATTGATGCTACAGGTACATGGTATGTTGTTGCTACAGCTGTAGTGATGCTACAGGTACATGGTATGTTGTTGCTACAGCTGTAGTGATGCTACAGGTACGTGGTATGTTGTTGCTACAGCTGTATTGATGCTACAGGTACGTGGTATGTTGTTGCTACAGCTGTATTGATGCTACAGGTATATGGTATGTTGTTGCTACAGCTGTATTGATGCTACAGGTACATGGTATGTTGTTGCTACAGCTGTATTGATGCTACAGATACTGGTATGTTGTTGCTACAGCTGTATTGATGCTACAGGTACATGGTGGATGCTGCGGATCATGACAAGCTGGAGGCTTCAAGGAACGAGCTGCACAATCTGCTGGACAAGCCCCAGCTTCAGGGCATCCCAGTACTGGTGCTGGGCAACAAGCGGGACCTGGCAGGGGCATTAGACGAGAAGGAACTCATTGAGAGGATGTAAGTAGCAACTGTTGCTGGTAATACTGGTGTGTGCACTGGCACCAAACTTGTGATGCAGAATATTCCCATGCCTATTTTCTTCTCAACAGTATCTGCACTGAAGTCTTATAAAACTGTAATCCATAGTGTAAGACAAGCCATTGGTGCAGTCCTCTGTTTGGAGATAATTTTGTTGGCCATTGTGCCCTAATTCTACATTTGTCACCTATTTGACAGGGTTGGACAAAACCAGAATATTAGGAATTAACTGTTTATCTTACTTATAACGTCTCTGGTGTATGTGAAGTGTTAAGCTGACTGTGGATCGTACTCAGGCCAACACATTGTGAACTGCTTCTAACTATTGTTTTCCCCTGCAGGAATCTGTCGGCAATCCAAGATAGAGAAATCTGTTGTTACTCTATATCTTGCAAAGAAAAGGAAAATATAGGTAAGGACATGAATTTGTCATAATAATTTTATCACCTATGTAAATATGAATATGCTTCACAGTATGCAACTTGGTTAATAGGTCACCAATCTTTGACGTTTTGCAAAGAACTTAACCATTTATTCACATGGCGTTTGTTTATTTAAGATAAAGGATGCCTAATGTGTTGAAACCCATGTTCACTATTTATTTGCTTCATTTGTATTTAACCTATCTACTTGATTTACTACTGTTTTATTTTAATTTAATCATCAGAAATATGATCCTTAACTCTCCCATGTCTACTAATATTAAACATTTGAAATATGATGCAGATTATTTTATCAAAGAAATGCAACTCAAGATTATATTTCTTAGATCACACTTTTGTATTGTGGACTTAGTTGATTGCATGTCATCGTATCCAAATTGCATAGATCGATGTTCATGTCTCTGAATTGTCTGGTCCAGACTCAATTATTTACAAACCAGTCATATAGCTGGAATATTGCTGATTGCAGTGTTAAACAACAAACAGTCAATCAATCATTGTTCTCTTCATAACGAATGTCATTTTATTGTTCTGGGTGCGGTTGTACAAAGCGGTCTTAGCGCTAAGGTGATCGTAATTTCCATACCTTAACATAGAGTTGTGACAGTCGAAGCACTAAGGTGATCGTAACTCCCACACTTTAACATAGAGTTATGACAGTCGAAGCACTAAGGTGATCGTAACTCCCACACTTTAACATAGAGTTGTGACAGTCGAAGCACTAAGGTGATCGTAACTCCCACACTTTAACATAGAGTTGTGACAGTCAAAGCACTAAGGTGATCGTAACTCCCACACTTTAACATAGAGTTATGACAGTCGAAGCACTAAGGTGATCGTAACTCCCACACTTTAACATAGAGTTGTGACAGTCGAAGCACTAAGGTGATCGTAACTCCCACACTTTAACATAGAGTTGTGACAGTCAAAGCACTAAGGTGATCGTAACTCCCACACTTTAACATAGAGTTATGACAGTCGAAGCACTAAGGTGATCGTAACTCCCACACTTTAACATAGAGTTGTGACAGTCGAAGCACTAAGGTGATCGTAACTCCCACACTTTAACATAGAGTTGTGACAGTCGTAGCACTAAGGTGATCGTAACTCCCACACTTTAACATAGAGTTATGACAGCCGTAGCACTAAGGTTGTTTTGTACAGCAGCGCCCGGGTTGTGGCCTTTGGCTCCAGCCGAATCTTTTGAGATTTATACAGTGTTGCCATAGCACTTGATGAATATCTGGCCTGACTGTTTGTTCCAGACATCACATTGCAGTGGCTAATCCAGCATTCCAAGTCAGGTCATTAAGATGGGACCCCCACAGACCAGACTATGTATGAGTGACTGCAGTCAAGGTTTGATAGTGAACGATTGGATTTGTATGAGAAGTGTCTAAGTATTCCGAGGACAGTCTACCACTGTCACATGACGCACGGTCACCGCCAAGTCCCTGACAACACCAGCGACTGCTTCCTCGACAGCTGGCCACATCATCGACGTCGGTAGTGACAGTTCTACTTCTCCTTGTCTGTCCTGTGTTTTTGAGATGACTGTTGTTTCATGAGCTCATGAGCCTCACTGCAGTGTAAAGCTGAACAAAGAAATATAGCCCATCCGTGTTGCTGCTTTGGTTCAGTATCAAGCACCTTCAACCTGTATATAGTTCTTATTAACCCAAGTCGGGAACCATCTATAACAGAACACATATTTAGGCTGAAACAATACACTGTTCATTATCATGATGCAATATATATCATCATGATCATGATATCATTTTCAGAATATCATGTCATGAATGTATTCTTATTTGGAAAGAGGGAAAATTGTTTTCTAATATCAAGTTTTGATGTCAAGTGTTCATGTATCTGAAGGCAAATACATGACTGAATATTATACTCCATTGGAAGAAGCGAAAATGTCGGCCAGTACCAGTTTGTGGACTATCTGATGGTGCAGATAATTTAAACAAATTTGGAAATAATATGTATGGATACTGATTGAATTGTGTCATGTTGATATATCAAAATGAACAAGCCGAGCAGTGAATCGTTTCAGCCTCAAAACATATTTTAGAATTAAAATTATTTGCAAATTAAAATAAAAGACAAAATAATGTCCATATTTCACAATAAAGGTACCCTTGGGAATACATTGTAACGTTGACATCTAAGGACTGTGTTATGGTATGGAAATGTCGGAGACTGTCTGGGTTGGTTTTTGTTTTGTATTATGTCAATGTAGGTTGATAATTGCTAAATAATAGATCATGTAACCTTTTGTTCTCTGTGCTTGTATGGGTCCACGATGATACTATTGGAATGACAACTAGAATAAGTCATGGTCAGATCATATTTTGATAGATAATAGGATTTCTCAAAAGCACATGGTATTTTACTTGATTTTGTGCTGTATGATGTAAATCAAATTATGAAATATCTCCACTTTGTTCGTGTTAGAATTTAGTGCTTTGCATATTTAAAGATGTCAGGTATTCCATAGTTTCAGTTGAATGCGAATTGAGTGTTTTGGGTTAGACTTTTTGTACTTCTTACCTCATTTCTACAGTATGCATGTTTAACAGTGTGAAAAGGTTTGTTCAGCTGCTGTCAATATCAGTGTGATTCTAACACTCAAGCCTCCAGATCTAGTGCTATAGGGTATCCGATGTGCAAGATCTAGTGCTATAGGGTATCCGATGAGTAAGATCTAGTGCTATCCAAATGGCAAGGGGAAACACCTTAAATCCAACTAGGCCACAACTATGTCCGGCTAGTTCTGCATTGGGGCGAATCAAAGATTTACGCCTATAACCCCTGCTTTAAATGTTTAAACTTCTACCACAAAAACTGCTAGTCCTTACAATCTGACCAGCAGTTATGTTGCATCATGTTTGAGATAATTATTCTCACAGCAGCGTGTAAACTTGCACACTTTCCAATAGGAATGATTAATATTACAGAAAGATGCAATAGTTCAACAATACTCACTTATCTACAGCATGGAGCTCACAGAGTTGTAAATATTCCAATCAAGCAGTTTTCTACCGACATAAAGACATTATATATTCTACTCAAAAGAAGTTAAAGAACACCCAACTCATGCCATGACACATTAACTACAGTAAGATGAAGGAATCGGGTGTTCTTTGACTTCCTTTGAATAGTACATATGTGTGCTGTTGTTCACTAGTGGAGTTTGTATGGATGTCAGACTTGGTGATGTGGTAGGGAATTACATGGCAGTGATCACACTCTGTAGACTGGTCTAGTAGACAGTGTCTATATTAACTTGATAGACATGTGATATTGTGTCAGTTAATCAACATGTGGCTCTTTGTAAACAATATTTATTAGTTTTAGAGATTTATTGAATAGGAAGTAACAAGTTACTTATAACATCCTTGCACAAGTAATATATTGTGTATTGAAACATTCAATTTGGTGTACAACTCCTGTCTTAAACATGTGATATAATCCACCACTATTTATTTTGTCAATGAAATTGTAGATACATCTCACATCTTGAGCCCAGTCTTGGATAGATACATGGATGATTTAAAGAATATGGTAGCTAATTTATTTTAGTAATTGGGTGTAATTAAGACATGATCATAATTGCAGCACAGGAGATTATTACTTATCATAAATAGCTCCATGTTATTAAAGATGCATACTAGCTTTTATTTATCGATGTGAGACTAGAAGTTCTTGTATGGTGTTTTAAATTCTTGAAATGGTGGTACAAATTATGAGTTAAAACACTGTGTCTTAATGATAAATGGTGTCTTTGATTGGTGTTTGATATCAAACTGGAATTTGAAATGTTGTATATTTATTTCTAACATCACTTTTCCATTATGAAGTGTATTTACTTATGTGTTGTAATTTTCTGTTTTGAAAGATCAGTTTTCAAAACGGACACTTGTTTATTGAAAACATGTTCGATTTATCACTGAAACAGCTTTCTGTTTATCTAATGTTGTAAATATGACAGCAGTTAGTCATTCACAATTGATGTCCCAATAGCCAACTAGGACTGAACTGTGTTGACCTACGTAATAACATATATGAGAAAACAGCTGTATGTATACATTTTGTTAAAGGGAGATAACTCATGAAGTCCTATTTTCTGGCCCAAATGATATTGTTCTATATATATTAATGGTAATGGTGTCTGTTAAATGTGACAATATATTGATCCTGACAGTGTGCTTCAACAGACAAGATAGCTCAACTACCAATACCCACCTTATCTGGTTAATCTACCCATGTTCTTAACAGTTAAAAAGATCTTGATCATGCATTATCACTCTGATCCTTTTCTTATAGTGTATTTGTGTGTACCATTGCTTAACATTTGTAACAAATTGTGCTATTTCTGCCAATGATTGATAAATTTCAAAGTTCATTACTGACCAGGGCTGGTTTCGCAAAGAGATCTTAGCGCTATGATTGTCATAAGTCTTCAGTCGCTTTGTGAAACCAGGCCCAGCTCTCTTTATTGATAATGGACATGCAGTGTTCACACTTTAAGCAGATTGTTATGAGCTTTGAGCTTACTTACTTATTGTCATATTTCTGCTGTTGAAGTATGTTGCTGCCACTGCATTCCTGATAACCGGGTGTCTCCAAGTGACAGAAGCTACAGTAAAATCTGCTTGATATGCTCAGTATTATATGATCGGGTGCCTCCTGTCTGTCAGCTTTTCTATTGGTAGGCTTTTGTTGAATATGAACAATCTGAGATCTCAAGGGGAGACCTTTCTCATTACAATAACGAAGTCTGTAATCAATATTGAATAGTACCATGCCCACAGCTTTGAAAGTAGTTGTTTCGCCACCCACTTTTGTAACCCGTTTACATGGATAGTTAAAGAAAACATCTTCCTATATGGCTTGTTTTTTTTATTAGCATGAGTTTTGAAGAAGGGGGATGGTGCAGACTCTCTGCCCAAGACACAAAGTGACCCAAGACACGATAGGTTCGCATGTTAGGTGTCTGAAAAAGGCTGATGGCAGTGACTGATAGATCCATAGAGGTAACATTTAAAAGAGTGTCGCTTAAGTTGCAAGCTGATTTTTCTGTATATTTGTTGTCATGGCGAGGTGGCTGGGACTTTGTGTGTACATACTGCAACTGTACATTGTCAGTTTTATGCACACTATGATCTATATTATAGCAGACATCATGTCTTTTCGATGATTGAGGTTGTCCAGTGTATCGCTTCATTTATTTCGTCATTAAATATGTTAACACTGTGAATTCTGTTCTTATTATGAAGACTCCAGCACAATACATAGTACTGGAGTTCCATCTGATCCTTAAGTCTTACAAGGAGGGCTTGTGTTGTATTCTCCCAAGGGAGCTGAGAATTAACATTTGAGTGCTACTGTTCCATTGACTGGGGTAATAATGTTAGCACTTTGAGCATGCTTAGGAATGGATTTGGCATGTTTGGTGCTGTACAAATTTACACATTATTATTGTTGTTGTTGTTGTCATCATCATCATTTCACTTGGAACCCAGAATTCACTCTGAAACTTCATAAACACTGAGATAGCTCCACCAGATTGATGACACTGATGAATATGCATGAGAGGCAAAGTCCCATGTTGTTCAGGAGTCCTGTCCACAAAGCCATCTCAGTGCTATGACTATTTTAAGTCTGTTTAGAACAGTGAAATCTCTTATTCATGCCTGTTTCACCAAAGTAAACAAGGATCTGCATTCTAACCAAACTCACCATGTTGTAGGATTGTCTTCTCGCTAAGACAGTTTAGTGGAACCAAGGGAATGAAGGGTAGGGATTAACCCATTAGGTACATAATAGTTTCATTGGGCAACTTGGCAAGTTTGGGGGCCAAGTCGTCTAGGGCGCGTGCAGAGTTGCATCCCTTGGGCACGCCAGAAACCTATTGTTGTGGGTTCGAATCCTGGTTCGCCCCGATTATGTTTCTAGGTTCTAGGTTTGTCAGCACCATACCAGTGCTCGTGGGTTTCACCAAAGTGGTAAACGTGGTAAACGTCTGACACCTGCATCACTTCGGGCTTTCCTCCCACATCAAGCTGACGCTGCGATATAACTGGAATACTGTTAAAAGCTGTGTTAAACCCAACTCACTCACTCACTTGGCAAGTTCAACAATCAAAGTACCCAACACACAAGACATGCAAGGTTTATGTCTTTAGTTTCTTTGCTCTTTAAGGCTGCACTCAGCAATATTCCAGCTAAATGACGTCGGTCTGGAAATAATCGAGTCTGAACCAGACAATCCACTGATGGACATCATGAGTGTCATCTACCTAATTGGGATACGATGCATCAACTGTGTCAGCGATCCTGATCACCCGATTCGTTAGTCACCACTTTCGGCAAGCATGGGTTGCTGAAGATCCATTCTCTACTGGGATGTTCATGAGTCAGCTTGCAAGGAAATGTTTGCATGCTCACTACTATGTGTCCTATGTTAATGCATGTCCATGGTATCTGTAACGCTACTTGAACAGTTGACAGACTGCCTCGTGGTCTACTGGATAGAGCATCAGCCTGGAGAGCGGAAGGTTGGTGGTTCGATCCCCTGACCATGCCATACCAAACAAGTAACAATTGATACCTGGCGCTCTACATTAAGGGGCTAAAGCAAGGACTGGTCGTCTCGGAGTACTGTGTGTTGGTAAAGTATCCATATTACACTGTGACGATAGTATCTCAGTAGGCTATCACTTATATATATAAATGGTAAAAGTCCGGACAAGTACAAGCAGCCACATACATGTGAATGCATGTCCCTGTTAAAGTGTAATAAACTTGAACGCGACGTTAAACCCCATTTCACCTTGCCTCACATCATAAAAACCCCGTGGATTTAGGTGGATAGAGACTACAATCTTAAAGAAGTTAAATGTATCATCTGAAATATCCATAGTGCTAGCAACCAACCTACTGACCCATTGCATCACGGTCTGATAATGCATATCCGTAGTTTCTGTAATGCTACTTGAAAACATGAAAGATTGATGACTGTTCGCTCTTGTTCAAGGGTATCTGATGAAAGGTTATGAGTCCCACATCCAGTGCAACACCTGCCCAAGCTGTTTGCCAAACGATCAAAAGATTAATCGGAATATGACAAGTCTCCGGGTAGGCTACAGATGGCAGGGTTATGTAGGGGTTATGTAGGGGTGGACTGGTACACAACCTGGTCTTGTTCAGTCAATGTTAAGGATTTAAGCCATTACCAAAGCACTCAGGTCACAAAGTAGAAGGCAGTCCAGGCAGGACGGGTGATTCTGGGTAGGTTGATTCCCAAGTGGAGGGGTGGCGGATTAGCATTGTGTTTAAAGGCTCCTACCCCATTCTGTAGCTCACATGACTAGCCAGTATTTGTACAGAAAATATTTGAATATTAATGTTGACAGCTTTTTGTCAGTGGCTGTCTTTGTTTTTTAACAGCAGGCTACAAAGACAGCATAGACGGACCCCCAAAAACCCAAAGAAATGCTATACAATCAACAATTGTATTACAAAATTAACCAGGTTTACAAATCAGTACGAATTACAGCGAGGCAATTACAAAGGTCAGTACACAATAGAGTGGCAGTATCAAATTCAATGGCAGTATATAATGCAATTGCAGTGGTAACAGAAACATGTCAGTGATGGTAATATTAACCTAGTAGCAACAGTGTTTAAGCTTCCAAACAGGCCTAGGATGGATATCCATTATCCAGGGTGAATGTTTGATCTTCACACAACCAATGGTCTTGATGTAATGTGCGATGAGAGAGGCATGTTCTTGCATATAGGCACGACATATGCATTTCCAACCTTCTCGGGCTAGCAACACACACGTCTATGAAAACACTTCTTGAAAATAATTAGATTTTGTTTTTCTTCAAAATAATCCGTACCTCAATTGGGATCGATGACATGCATCAATCTAGTCAACAAGCCGGACCACCCGGTCCCGTTAGTCGCCTCTTACGTCAAGCACAGTCGCTTTTTATAGCAAGCATGGGTTGCTGAAGACCTATTCTACCCCGGATCTTCAATGGTCGCGCCCAGAAGGAAGACGTTGATATCCCGAATGTGAAACATGCAAGTTCTCGTTTAATATTTGATTTGCTTTATTACCTATTCGCTGCTCATAAATACAGCCGATGAGACATGCCGTGTTTCAGATTTTGAAGAATTTGTTTTTGTTGCGAACAGTTTTCCGTACCAGCTAGTGAAGTTAAAAGTCAGAATTTAAAAGGTTTTTTTTAAACATGGACACGCTATGAGTCAGTGCACAAGGACTCCGTGTCACGGTGTCCTGCTGAAGCATGCTGTGTGTTGCCGAGGACACAGAAACTCCCGCCAAGGGCCTATTACAAGCTGTTCACATTTTCAATACAGGAAACTCAAGCCTGTATTCCTGATCAACCAGAAAAACGACATTTGTATTTATAGCTCTAACTTTTGTTGTTAATTATGCAATACAATTTGAAATATAGCTGTATGTAGACATTAGACATTAACAAGTCTGTTGAGAACGGTTTATAGGAAAGCTGCCTGCGTGAGAACAACACACGAAGAGCTTGGAGCAGTCCTGTACAATGACTGTGGGATATATTTATTTTATGAAAAAATAATAATCTAGAAACGCATACAAAAGCAAGTCTAGCCAGCTCTAGCTAGCTCTATTCCACAGCATAGGGAAATTTTGTTTTTTTAACTTTTAGAGTCAAGAAGGATTTTGTGTAATAAGATTTCATAGACTAAATGTTAGCCTAAGCTTAAAGCCATCAGGGCCAATGTCATGTTTTAGAAAAGTAATGAAAATAATAACCACATGCATGCTGATACATATTTTTTATTCACCGATAAATTCCTAAACTTTAACACATTTTTACAGCAGGCCTATAATTATTGTTAAAAAAAGGAAATAAACTTACGTTTTTAATTTGTGTAAGGGTGGAAAGGACCAATGTCTGTATTTTGGCCCTTTTAACCTCAGGCATTTGCATGGGATTTAACATGTGAGATTGATAAACTACTACTGAAAGTATAAACACATACTACTTTAAATGATTTAAACTAATGCCAACTTTGTTGAAATAGTTGAAACAAAATAACAATGTGTTCAAACTTTCAAAATCTCTTTAACAACCAGTCTCAACCATACACGGAAATGAGAGCTAAAAGGGCCAAAATCTAGCAAAGTGACTTTGGCCCTTTTGGAACTTGATTTTGGCCCTTTTGCAGAATATTAAGCAGCTATGTTACAGAAACCTATCAATGAAAACATTCAATATTTTATCTACAAGTAGACAAGAACTCTTAGATGTTATTTATGCGATAATATGCAAAAAGGGCCAAAGTGCATATAACACTGCAGTTAGAACGCAGAAGATAATTAATAAAAACGCCAAACCCCTTTCTATATTCATAAGAAATCTCTGTCAAAATAAAGTCGATTGAAGGATTTCGACTATATCATGATAATTTGTGTATCAAATATGATAATACAAAATATTGTTCAAACACACTATTGTTTATTGCCATTGTAATAGCTGTGCAGTAATTTGTATTGAATTTTATAATACATTTGTTGATTGTATACCACTTGTTGTTTGTTTGTTTGTTGGTTCCACTTTAAGTTCTTTTACGTACAGATTTCTTTCACATTACCTTTACAAGTGTAAATAAATACGGTTTAAACATTTTTGTCTTCAGAAGATATCTATACCAATAGCAGAATCCATTGTACGATTCCGACTATATCATAATGATGGTGCCACCCGTGAAGATCCGGGGTAGAAGCGGTCTTCAGCAACCCATGCTTGCTCTCAAAGGTGACTATGAGTGAGTGAGTGAGTGAGTATGGTTTTTCGCCGCTTATAGCAATATTCCAGCAATATCACGGTGGGGGACACCAGAAATGGGCTTCACACATTGTACCCATGTCGGGAATCGAACCCAGGTCTTCGGCGTGACGAGCGAACGCTTTAACCACTAGGCTACCCGACCGCCCCAAAGGTGACTATGCTTGTCGTAAGAGGCGACTAACTGGATCGGGTGGTCAGGCTTGCTGACCTGGTTGATGCATGCCATCGTGTCCCAATTGCGTGGATCGATGGTCATGAAGTCAGTCACTGGATTGTCTTGTCCAGACTCGATTATTTACAGACCGCTGTCATATAGCTGGAATATTGCCGAATGCGGCCTTAAACGGGTTTGATAAGCCTATGGTCTCACCAGCATGCCTGTTTTATGTAT